AACCGCCCATCATTTAAAGTTTCAATATGGGAACTATACCTATCTGTACGTACTAATACATTAATGTGGTTCCAGGAAGTGTATTGAGGTGGAGGAACCCAGGTGGTTGTGGCCACTGGACTTTAATTCTCGGATGTTCTTTGAGGGACACAAGGTGGGGGCAAGATACTCGTGTGTGGTCAATCTCATCAACACGACACAACCAATCCACCACCACGTTATAATCAACACCCTCTATCATCTTTGCAAGTAAGTCTCTGTAGTTTGATAAAACCCTAAGAAATTAGTGCTCCTCGTTTATAAACGCAGGCTATTTACCAACGTAATAAGTACAACACGGCAGGTAGTTTATCATCAAGGTTCACACCAAACTAGTCCCATTTACGCTTGGTTCTCTTCAGCTCAGTATTGAGCATTACAGTGACAGTGTAAGTGCTCCTTTCATCAGGTTAATTATTTCACTTATCCTCATAACCCCGCATCGTTGTGGCCACTTAAGACTCAAACAAAAAACCTACATGAATTAGCCAAATAACCCATGGCATTTAGTCCTAAAAATGCCACAATGTTCATCTAAATGAACATTGAACGAGCGCAATCGTTCGCCCTCCTGGAAAGACAAGGGTTTGTGGCCAAAACTACCCACTTGAAAGGCCTGGACTTTGGGATATAAACCTCTTGCCAGCCTAATCAGAATCTTATAAGAGGAAAGTCAAGAAACAGGGGTTTCCATGGGGTAACAAACAACCGTTAGAGATTGACATCTCTTTACTACGAAAATAATCACAATAATTGACACCACTCACACAAATATCAAATAAACAATTACGGGAGTCAAGCAAGTAATGGAGTCAAGCTATTACGGCGAGTCAAACAATTACGGGAGTCAAACAAAGTACAGATATTTCCTACGGCTGCAGCCGGATGGAAAGTTCCGTTGACGCTGTGGTCAGTTCTCAGAGGGAAGGTCCAGGGCAGCTTCCTCAATTGGCGCCGGCGGGCGATGTCTTGCCACACAGTAGAGAAGCCAGGGTACGGACGGTGGATAGGGCATGGAGGAATTGGCGATGACGTGGCAGCCGTGGTAGTAGCTGGAGCAGGTGTATAGAGATTGACAGCCAAATAGTGACGGACTGGGGAATCAGCCCACGAGCCCCAAGACCCTCAGATGAGTACACGACCAGAGTTTGAACGAAGAGCAGGGCAAGTGTAGCTGTGGTGCTGGCTGGCTCCCCCTCCCCTCTAGTGTGGGCTGCAAACAAGCTGCTGACAACCATCCTGCTCGTTACAGCCCTTACACCCACCACTCAGTCAACTACTGTATCTCACATTGAATCATGTCATTTCTGCAAAAAATTTCGAATAGCATTGTCACATACTGTCATCTCCGCCAGCTTACTGTTAATCTTATTAAACATCAAGAAAATCGCCACTTGCTACTCTTTACTAGATATAAAATCATATAGATCACCTCTCAGCTTTTCTTGGCGCTCACACAAAGTCACTTGAGCTATTCTTGCTCGTCATGGCACTCTGCCTTAACACAGAAGCTACTGTAAAATCCAAGCTACACATTATTAAAACCAGGGCGGTGAGGTTCATTCTTGACGTGAAAGCAAGATAGTTACGTTGATCACGAAGTTGTGCAAAAGTTGTACAGTACATGTTAGGTGTGGCGGATAGAGTGGAGCAACTAAGAATGAAACACACAGGAATTTCAAAGGATTGTGCTCAGAGTATCTAACGGTAAACGTTGTAAAAATTAGTTAGGATATGAACTAGCAGGGCACTGGAGGGGACGAACTCAATTTTGTGGTACCTGGTGCATGTGCGTGGTCAAGCAAAAAACACTTTCTTTTTTACAGCTTTAACGGACCGGAACGAGTTAGCTAACCACATTATAACCAGTAAAAGTATCAAACAATTCAAAGCTAAAATTAATAGTAAAATAAATAACAGATGAAGCAAGAGAAGAGAGAAAGTTTCTGTATTATTAACCGCAGAATGCTGTACTGTTGAAGTGACCCGTCAGCTGTGGATAGTCCAGGTTCAATGTATTACTTGTTCATTCTATACAGTAAAGTCACTTTTCCTCCTGTAGACATACTACTACTGATTAGATACCGAGCCTAAGCCTACAGTAAGGACTCTCCTGGAAATAAGCATCTGGTAGTTTTGTCGACTATCCTTAGTCAAATTGCCTTAATGTTTCCCCTATTCGTATACCTGTACTGCCTTTGTATACAGGAAACTGTATACTCCCACGGTCTATGTACACTGTTCACATGTATTTCTGATACTCATCCTGAACTGTATACCTGCATAATTTATATACTGTACATGCCTATCCAATTTAAAGCTAAATGACAATTTTACTGATTTATTATTATTATTATTATTATTATTATTATTATTATATTTACTTGACTTGAAATAACGTTGGCGGACAAATTCGAAAATCTCCCAAGGAAAACATAACAAGGAGTTTGCTTCGAGCTTAATCACACACACTCTTATATTTTGACCTTAAGGAGTCACTAGGTGGAATAGCCAGTGTGGTGTAGGAGTTGTGTAGTATGTACAGTAGCTGACTGTTGGGCCAAACTCACATGACACTTCAGGTTTCAGCCTGAACGATTCTAAACGTATATAACAACAGGAAACCTGTTACCATTACCTGGACGCTCTTCAACTATTATTCTTTATAAAAGGTACTTCTCTTACTTCTGTCACTGTCCTCACTATGACATTGATCACAGTACATGAATAATATACAGTAACAGTAAGAGTTCTTTTTCACCCCACCAGGAAGATACCTTTCCTGGGAGTGAACATAAAGACGAGAGACGATCAACTTTGGTACTGCCAAGACGAACACTTCAACCTAAATTTTCAGGTAAATATTAAAGGTGACTGATCAAATGGGTCCGCATTCTATAAGGACAATAACCTAACATAATCATTAAGTTCTCAGACGTCCCCAACCCTAATGATTCCCAAACCTATGGGTTAGGAAGAGACCTTACGTCAAGATGAGTGTTTTTAGTAATTGTATAATACATATAAAGTTTTAATCAGATTAAAATTACGATATGACTACATTTTACCCCTTGTCAGAGTGTCATGTGCGTTATACTTTCTATTTGTTTTCAGATGTTAGAGGAAGGAACCAGTGTGATAAAAGAGTTCCAAAAGCTCAGCAAAGAAGGCTTGGGAACAGAGGATGCCCCCTTGATGAAAGTTCGGATGATCCCTGGGGTGACGGACGCCCCCTGCGCCTTCCCCGAGTATAACAAAGACTTCCCCCATCAATACGCCATCATCTTTTTCGTGCACCACTCCATCATGGACGGTACCAGTATGGCCTACATGTTACAGGCGTTTGTGGAAGTACTTGACAGAGTTTTGCGTGGCCAGAGTGTTGACAATACCAAACAAATAGGAGTATTTGTTTCACACCAGGAGATCACAGAAAAAGAACTGCTGATTGAGAAGATGTTGAACAATGATCAAGGACGATTGAGGGAGTTGAAACAAGAAGTTCTAGCAAGCACCAAATCGCCTGAAATATTAAGAGGTTATCCTGCGCCTGGGGGACCTAACCCGACCACTCACTTTCTTCACCGCGAGATTCAGCCAGAAAGGTTCCACAAGATCTACCTCCGGTGTAAGCAACACGGTGTAACCTTTTACACTGCCCTACAGGCTACTGTAAACACCGCTATAGTCGAACTACTGAAGGAGGCGGGAATCAACGATGAAGACTTCAATATCAGTGTCTCCAATACTACCAACCTGCGGCGATACATGCCAAGGCGCCCTTCACCAACACTTGGGCTACACTTGTACTACACCACGCAACTTGTCAACGTTAATCGAAATGTGAGGGAAAGTTTCTGGAACTTTGCTAAAATAATTGGCAGTGACCTGAAAACTCTCCTTACTTCAGAGGCGTCGCTGGTACAGAGTGTGGTGCGGAGGATGACGCTGCCGCCCATCGACCCGACTACTTACTTCATGACTCCTCCACCCTTGACAAGCGACTACAACTTTACCAATATGGGAGATTTGTCTGCCTTGGTTAGTGGTGATACTCACAGCGTTCAAATTTCAGGCTTAACAGCGCTCGTTTCCTTGTACAACTTGCCAAATATAAACTTTCACTCTATGCACACATTCCGTGGTAAGCCTCTCTACACGTTTGGTTACGCCTCCAACTACATGACGCACGACACAGCAGAGAGGCTGGTCAACATGATCTTCACCATCCTCGACGAAGTTAGTGAATAATGCCTCCAAAATGAGTCAATTAACATCCTGTTCTACCCAACACCACTCAACGATATTTATTCTAAGATGTGGGAATTTGTTCTTTATTTTTCAGCTACACTTAAGAATCATATGTGAGCTACAATATTTGTTGATCTTTTCGTTAAATTTCTTCATCCTTCTTTTATTTCCTTCTTCCCTCCTTTCATCTGTTTTCTATCATTTCCTTGGTGTTGTATTAGCCCCTTTCTTATAGGCAGAAGTATTTATAGAAATGGGTGAATTACATTAGACTTGTATAAATATTATCCCCCTGCAACTTTCCACTAGCTCTGAGGTAACATATTCAGAATACGCGATAAGGTGTGCCCACGGGAAGTCACGTCACGTAGTGCTGAGTTAAGCATTAAGTGACCGGCTCTCTGGCCACATATTGCAGGCAGTAGTTTGATAACCCTGACTAGAGGAAGACGTTATTGAGAGCCATCGGAGATGGGTCCGTTTTCCCTCGACGGAGGACGTCGTCGGATATATTTCCGTTCTCCCTCGACGGGTCTCTACTTACCTCACTCACCGCTCATCAACAGGACGTACTTAGCAGAGCTATTTAACATAGCCTCTGTCATCATTTAACCTTTGATCTATATTTTAGTATGTCTAGAATGTAAGGTAACGTGCTTCACAAGTCATTGTTACAAGTAGTGACAACCCAGGAAGATTGTTACTTACATGACAGTTTCCCAAGTAACTGTTATATTCACGGTAACAGTCTCCTCAACATATACACAGTTGATAAATGTAGAGATATTATGTTCTCCCCATTACTGTGGCATAACTGTTACATCTGTTACTTAGAAGGAAATCGTTATAGTGTTTCATCTTTTATTTAATTTCCTCTATTTTTTTTATTTGGTTTCTCTAACCCTTTCAATATTTTGTTCCATTCTTTCTTTACTCAATCGAACTCCATTTAGTTTTATTCTCTATTTTCCCGACTCCCTCTTTTTCCATATTTTTCTTCGTCCCATCTTTATTCTTTGTTCAATCTTCTTTACTGTACTCCGTTTTTTACTGTGAATATTTAAATAAGAATTGTGTATATTAGCTTAAGCTTCGATAACAGACACAGCTACAAAATATAGCTTCGTTGATTGGATTGATTTTAGCTTTAATATATTAGTGTTTGTTGAGCCTGAGCAGACATTGAAATGTTTCCTTAAATTGTGTAAAGGTGACTTATCAGGTTGATGCTATACATCTTCACTATAAACTTAAGTATACTGGTAGAAGACATAAATCAAATATTAAAGTTCTATAAAATATAAAGATATTAAAGGGTAATGAATGAAGAGACGAGTTCACTCCAGTCACCAACCAAACCCAACGTAAACTACCGAGCCATAGTTAACCTAACAATAAAGGAGATTCTATGATCATTAAACTAGAATTGGGTCTTTTCTAAGTTAAAATATGTCTTGTATGGTTATGTCAATCCAAGTTCTAAAATTAATGTGTAATAAAACTCGATGTGTAAGACATATATCACCCGTGACAATTGTGGGATAAAACGCCACACAAGAGGTTAGACTCGGCCATGATATTGTTTTTATATTACTAAGGATAAGACAGACTTTGGGTGACGAGGTCCATAAAGAGATATATGATGAATGTTTAGCAATATGACGTGGACGTTGAGGATATGATGAATGTTGAGTTAGACCGATGTAACAATTGTGTGGTGGATGGCGGGTAGAGGCTAGGCAGACCACATGGATGGAGGGAGCCAGTTACTGAGGACTTAAGGTCTGGGGAACTTGTCAGTAAAGGTAGCTGGTTTAATAATTGTTCTCGGTTAACATAGTTATTCAGCAAACCTAATTTAACCATTAAGGCTGAAGAACAGACCTATTGGATTCCAGTCCTAAAGAGTCCTAGGCATAATGTGCTCTTGTCCAAAATGAAAGGTTAGGTTGTAGCTAATAAGACCCAAGGCCAATTTTACACACATACACCATGTTTGAATCTGGATGTGTGAATGTAGGGAAAAACAATATGGAATAATCATGACAGCTAAAGCAACATCACTAATCTCGTTCGCTTTGCTTCAGTAAACTCTGCCTGAAATGAAGTTTTAACTCATATTTTTTTTACGGTTGACGCATAAGTTTAAATACACGCTTAAGGACCTTAGCTGTTGACTCGCAGTAGTACTGTTATATCCTCAACGTCAACTAATATGAACTTATATTTTGTGTGTGTTTTGGTTTCGACTTTGACTTATTGGAAACATTGTAAACCCATAGATAGATGTGTAATTGAAGTAAAATAATACCATTTTTATGTTTTATGTTTTCCCTAGACTCAACGCCACATTTTGTAAACTTTGTAAACCTATATGTACAGTCTAGTTCAAGATTCTTCGAACACTGCTGGAGACAGCTGGCAACTCAAGGCCGTTTGTTTACTATAGTACGTCATAAAAATTAGGAATAAATGTAAAAGTGATCGGTGATTGGTTACTTAGTTCCCCGTTGCTTAATTTAATGGCTGGACTTTGTTGTTTCGTATCATATTATACTACGTACTATAGTAAAAAGGGCCTTAACTTGCCAGCTCTGTCTCCAGCAGTGTTCGACCTTGAACGAGACTGTACATGTTTTAAACTCGGTATATTTAACATCATATATTGTAAACTTAGTTTGGAGCTAAAGTCATATTTTGTAAACTTTCTAGTTTATACCATATTCTGTAAACTTTCTAATATATTCAACATCACATGTTGTAACTTTGCTCAATCTAACGACACTTATTGTGAAGTCACATCCCAGAGCCAGAATCAAACTTCTTGAATTAAACATTTGTCTACTTGTTTCTTTAGTTTCCAATTTATATATTACAATTATTTGACTATGCTGTAACACACGGCTGTTAATGTATTTTTTATTGCAATAAATTCATACCACCATATCAAAGTATGTATCACTTAATGTACTGTAAAGTCGAGCACAAAGGTCTGTTAACCTCCCCAAGCTTACCTATACTGAAACAGTTTCGACGCCTGTGTCCTTATACTACCAGAAAGCGGACAGTTACCAAACATCATCATTAACTCGAATACGCTGGATAGCTTCAAACTTAGGTTGGATGGATATATGAGCAATACGGGTTGGGTGTAAATGGGACTGCCCAGTATGGGCCAATACGCCCACTGTAGTTTCCTCCATTCTTATATTCTTATGTTCTTATGTAAGCTGTGTTTACCTGCGTCTTAACTGTCTTATCTATGAGTGTGTAGATTTTATCGTTGTTGATAATTACCTGCAAACACGTCTGAGTACTCGTACTTCACTGTTAATTAAGTCTCGTAAAGACTCTGAGAGTTATAAAGTGTGAGGTGTACAGTACAGAACAAGAATTACAGACCTACTAGATCGGCGAAACCGCATTTATGAGGTATTTAATGACAAAAATTACAGGTCTTATGAAAGTGTTCAAGGATGCAGGAGAGAAAGATAGCTGTACAGAGACACAGTCGGTGTTCATATATAAGTTTCAGGCGTAAATGTACGATTAATGATATAATTACCTTATTTTTCGTACATTACCTGTATATACATAAAATGGAAAAGGACTTAATGTAACCATCACTCGTATGTACTTTACTATAACCATCTGGACGTTACCATCACAATCTGTATGTTACTAGCACCATATGGACATTACCATCACCAACTGTACCTTGCTATCACCATCAGGACGTTACCTTCACCATCTGTATGTTACGAAGTACCATATAGACGTTACTAGCACCACTTGAACGTTACTAGCGCCATCTGGCTGTTACTAGTTCCCTCTGAACGTCACTAGCTCCATTTGACTGTAACGCCTCCCAATAAAGATTATAACATTCCTTTAATACTCTGGCAAATATCTCATTGGGACCTGGTGACTTATTAGGCTTTAGTATGTCTATTTGCTTACTAACATCGTTACTAGTGATTACTATCACGCTTAATTTATTTTCTTCACTATCTCTGTATAGAGTCGGTGCCTCGGGTATCAGTCGCTGCTCTTGAGATGATATTTGTTAAGAGGTTATCAAGTACTGTTTGTTTTTACTTCTTGTCTCCCCCATGACGCAACGTACAGTAGGTGATGTTTCAAATTATTGTAATGAAAGGTTTAAAGCATCATTATAAACCGTTAAACCATCACAATACTCAAAAAGGATAAGAGGGTGGGAGTCTTATTAACTACCTAAGAAGCACCAGTGACTATTTTACATAACCATACGACTGACCATCTTATCTTCATTGAACTGTTCGTAAGCGGTGAGCTTCCAGATTCACTTCATACTTAACACAACTGATTAATTCACAATGTCGACTTACTCCCTCTTTTATCAGTCCTATAAACGCCTCAACTACCTTCATTAATATCAGAGCGTGATCCTTGAAGAATGTGACTCTGTTAAGACAAAAAACATTAACTGCAGTTTTGTGACAACTTTAGCAGCGTAGTTCTGGTGTTATCACCCAGGGTCATGCTAATGGTTCAAGGTTGGGCTGTTACTATTTATAATAATAATAATAATAATAATAATAGTTAACGGTTTATTGAAAAAATTCTGCAGCCCGAAGGCTGAAAATATACATTGGACATAAATGACTTATTACATACATTGGTGGTTCAATAAAAGCCTTCATTAGAGAAAGGTAAAGGAACATACAGTGAACATACAGATTAATGTAGGTGTTGAACAGCAAACTCGTAGTGTAGTAACTCCCTCCCAGATGGTGTTAGGAGGAACTCACGTGGTGTAGTAGTTCCCTCAGATGGTGTTAGGAGGAACTCACGTGGTGTAGTAGTTCCCTCAGATGGTGTTAGGAGGAACTCACGTGGTGTAGTAGTTCCCTCAGATGGTGTTAGGAGGAACTCACGTGGTGTAGTAGTTCCCTCAGATGGTGCTGTGTGTGTGTGTGTTATGCCTTAAATCCCTTACATACTATTCTTACCTTATGTAACATAATTAAAAAGAATATCTTTATGGAGAAGTTCGATGAATTTCAGAATGAACACTGTTACTACTGTTGTCTCGGTAGGGTTGTCAAAATCCTTCGTCCGTTGTGTCATATTATCTAACACAAAAGATGTCTTAGATAAAGACGAAAGCTAAGGTGCTCCATTGTTTCCCTGTGTGTTTTTATAAAGATTTATCTTATCCACGTTTTAATTGTGGATCTACATGATATATATATATATATATATATATATATATATATATATATATATATATATATATATATATATATATATATATATATATATATATATATATATATATATATATATATATATGTAACCGGTCGGAATTTGCTGGACTTTAATTTCTCACTTGACTTGGGGTTTATTAAAATTTAATAGATGGTAAAGGCAGTGGAAGCGCCCCTTTGAGAAAAATCCCGAACCAGCACAAGAACACTTAAATCTACTACACAAAATGAACTGTCCGTGACCCGTGGAAGGATAGCGTCTGTGACTGGGATGAATGAGACACACTGTAAAATTTAGACACTTATATTCCCTCCAACACTACAAACACAATCAAATAATGGTACACCAATATGCGCACCTCTTAACTTAAACTTTAACCACTACTCTGGGGAATAAAAGTTATACATGACATAGAAATTATTAGAAACACAGGCAACAATAAATTTAAAGTATCAAGAAATGTTAATTGCACATATGAACAGGCCTTAAGGGCTTTCACAAAATAATATCAGTCACTTAGGAAATGGTACTAAAAAATAAGAAATTAAATACTCCACAATGAATAGGCCTTAAGGGTCTTCAACAAAATAATATCAGTCACTGAGGAATGGTAATAAAAGATAAGAAATTAAATACTCTACAATGAATAGGCCCTAAGGGCTTTCAGCAAAATAATATCACTCAACAAAATTATAGCACCCCAACAGGTGTACACTTCCTAACCTAACCTAACCACTGCTCTGGGGAACAAGGTTATACCTGAGATCAGAATTATGAAGAATTAGAGGCATTAAAAGAATCAAATCACAGTATCACTCTGGTTCCACTTAATGGCACAAACATTCAAAAAAACACTACTATCAAAATTATTTAAGAAATATTAAACTACACACGTCAAGATAATATCAGTCTGAGGAATGGTGTTAACTACACCCGTGATAAGGAAGATAAAATGTTCCTCTAGGTATCTCCTAGAGTCCTAGACTCACGGTCTCAGTGTGTGACCATTAATATACTCAGATAGCCTCAGTGTACTCCCAGTGCGTCCATGGGCAGGAAGAGAGTGAGCCAATCAGACCTTGCGCAGTTGAGAGAAACTTTAGCTTCCCGTTAGCAAGAGGGTTTCACTAGCTGCTCGGGACATGTGGGGTTGTGCACCGGAGTGGTAAGAACTGATCACCCACTGCTGATGCTGGTCCCGTGTCGTGTTAGTTGTCGGGAGCACTCGTTCACTCAAGAGATCCTTTGCTACCCCGCTAAACAGTGACAGGCCTACACTGATCGGTCCAATGGCGACAATCGCCACCCTCAATCATCAACGGCAGTCAATCTCTCGCAGTCAACTCCGGTCAACTCCAATCAACTCCGGTCAACTCCAATCAACTCCAATCAACTCCAGTCAACTCCAATCAAGTGGGTTCTGACGGAAACCCTGAAATGAACTCACTGTTAGCTCTAGTTTACTTTATCACTGCCCTATCTAACCCTGTCTGAGATCGAATGAGACTTACTTGTTATACTGCAATAGCGCAGCACAGGTGACTAGGCCACGTGACTATTTCTGATGGACGCGCGGAACGTCTTGTCTGTGTGAATGCTCTCCGGGACTGGGCCTAGCCAGCGTCGCGTCTCCTCAAGGCGTTACCTTAGGTCTACGTGATATATTTACCGCCTAACTAATAACTCCTTGGGACACCCGTAACATTATTCAGACTGCTAAACGATCTATAATAATTTCAAATTCAATAATAGTCCCTTAACTTCATGAATCGCATCATTATTAATTCGGTAAATTACATTTAATATCATATAGGCCTAGTTCTGCAGTCTCTCGCTACGAGCAGGCAGCGCTCCCTCCCCTCAGATGACCTTGAACGCTCAGTATCACTCATGGCGGGGCATTTGAAATTACTCTGAAATTTCTGGAATATTACATATATATATATATATATATATATATATATATATATATATATATATATATATATATATATATATATATATATATATATATATATTACCGTATGTACACTTCAGTTATCATCTTGTTTCCTCAGACTTGATCACCATATCCCATTAAGGAGAAGGATTACTTAACCAGCACCACAACACAACCACACCACCACAGTAACCACACCACAACCACACGAATACACTCACCAACAACCATCACCACTCCTTCACCACCAATAATCAGATCCTAAACAAAACCTCCTTAAAACAGTTACACTCCCTCGCCTGCCACCACCACCTCTTCCTCCTCCACCAATATGCACTTCGAGGACCTGCTGTCAGTCATCGGATCCTTTGGGTTGTATCAGCGTCTATTGTGTTTCCTGCTGATACCACTCACCACAGGGGTCGTTGCCTTCACCTTCTACACGCAGCTCTTCGTGTTGACGGCGCCTCTTCACACCTGTAACCAGAGACCTCATGAAGGAAGAGACCAAGAGTTATATAACCATCTTGTTCCTCTGCTCAATAAGACGCCCTTTGTAAGAACCAAGGTAGAAGGAGGAGAGAGAGAGACAGAGAGAGAGAGCCAGGAGGGGAAGGGAAGGGGGGGAGAAGTAAACACAAGTAGTTAAGATATACTAAGCGCTTCAGGTAGTGTGGTCAACAATGCACTAGAAACCCCTTCCAAAAATGTAATAAGAAACCCATATTCCTCTACAATGCTTAAACCAACACTCGTGTTAACAAGGTCGCCAAGTACCAGGTGTTAGAGCAGTGGTTCTCAACCTTGTTTGCTCCATGCACCCCTTTCACCATATGTCAGAATGTCATTCCCCCCTCCTTTCCAAGATTGTTTGCCTCAAAAAGTGCATTCCAAATAATATGCATATAATACTGAAAACCTTTATTTTTTCCATATTAGTACATATACATTTACAATTTTACATGGATTATTTATATAGTGGAGTTTTACATATTAAATGCCAATTGAAAATGTTGATGTATTTATAAAACTTGAATAAAAGTAAAATAGTTTTTTTTTATTTATAATGAATTACTTAACAGACCAAACTGAAGCATAATGCAATAAACAAAAAGTTCAATAGAATACCATGATATTGTAAATTTGTAATTAATTTTATTCAGATGAAGATTACAGTCATTGTTTTTTCTTCGCCAATTCTGGGATACGCGGAGGAGTGCTTGAAAGGGCACAACGCAGGTCATTTTCTACCTCTAATCTACTACGTTGCTTCGTTTTAATTTGCAACAGAGTTGAAAAGCCTGACTCACAAAGATATGTCGACACAAACGGAATCGCACATCAAGGGCCAAAATTCTGTGATTGATTTCTCATCGAACATATCTCTTCCTCCCGAATCAGTTCCCCCTCTGTAAACTCGAATTTCCCTGGGGAATTCCCCCCTGGTTGAGAACCCCTGTGTTAGAGGATAATGTTAACTCCTTTACATGGGCTCCCGTGTCTCCTGAGAACAAAGGAACAATATTAAGGGATAGACTATAGCCTCTTCAGGGCTCCTCTCTCCTCCTACAGACACCCATCCTGTTCAAATTAGTGAGGCTCTTGAATGGTTCTTCACCACTATTACATACCCGATCAAAAACTTATTTAAAGATTGCTTAATTTAATATTTTTATACTAGACTACTGTACAGGTGATTTTTGACGTGCATTATTTAACATAACAAGCCAAGTTTCAATTTTTACATACCTTTACTGAGGGTGGGGTAAAATATCATCAGAACAAAAGATCTAAAAACATGATGATACTAACGTAAATATTCTCATACAATCCTTGTATCTACATACATACATACATACATACATACATTTAGTCAGTACTAACATACATACAGGTACGTACATACATACATACATACATACATACATTCATACATACATGCATTTAGTCAGTACTAACATACATACATACTGCAGGACTCGGACTCCAGGAAGCCTTACGCTTGTCACCAGTTTGACCTTAATGTGACCCAGTCTTACTTGGCCGATCATGACGTCATGAACGTGACCTCGCTGGAGCAACTGCCCGAACCTATCGCAGCCTGTGTCGACGGTTGGAAGTATGAGTTCGATCGCATGTTCTCATCTTACACCTCAGAGGTCAGTAAAGCTCATTAAAGGTTTGTTAAAGTTAAAGTTGATCAATTACGTTTATGGTTTGACAAAAGATTTATGTTGAAAAGAAAGTGTATGTATATTATGTATGCTGGATTATGTACTATGTATGTATATTATGTATGTGCTCCATTTATATTTATTCAGCCTAGCTAGCAGCGTGTGGCAATGTTATTACCATATCCCACATGCTTAATTAATGTGCCTGGCGACGTATGGAAGCTGCTAATGTATCACTTGCCATACGTCGTCTATGGTAGTTGACCAGGACCTTAGCTAGGGAGCAGTGCTATCCACCTCTGTGTACATACTCTTATCCAGTAAACCGAACCTACAAAACTATACAGGTGTTTGTGTTCTCTCCTGTATATAGAACTTATTACCCAGAATACCTAACAGAAAGGTGGGCAAATAACGAGAGAGAGAGAGAGAGAGAGAGAGAGAGCCAACAGTGATGCTCTCACAACTCGTCAGCACAACTGGGTGTGTGAGGACGCCTGGCGACCCTACATAGTGGTAACGATGTTCTGGACTGGCAACACTGTCGACTCTTGGCTCTGGGGCGTCGCTTCTGATATGTGAGTCTCTCTTCCAGGTTATGTCAGTTCAGTGTAAGTTAATTCATGTCAGTCCCAAATATATCAAGTCAGCACGAGTCATGTCGGGTCAACACAGGTTATGCCAGGACAGTATAGGTCATCTAATATGAACAAAAATCATGTCAGGTCAGCTCAAATCATGTCACTTGAGGTCAACACAAGCCACTCTAGATCATCACAGACCATACGAGAATAAGATAAAGACACACTAGGTGCTAGGACAACATAGCTCACCATAGGTAGGTAATGGGTCATCACAGGTAAAAGAGCCATAACCCCGACAGGTGTGGAGTACTGGTGTAGTATATGTTACAGTGGTGGAGTACTGGTGTGGTATACGTTACAGTGGTGGAGTACTGGTGGAGTATATGTTACAGTGGTGGAGTACTGGTGTAGTATATGTTACAGTGGTGGAGTACTGGTGTAGTATACATTACAGTGGTGGAGTACTGGTGTAGTATACATTACAGTGGTGGAGTACTGGTGTAGTATATGTTACAGTGCGGGAGTACTGGTGTAGTATACATTATAGTGGTGGAGTACTGGTGTAGTATATGTTACAGTGGTGGAGTACTGGTGTGGTATACGTTACAGTGCGGGAGTACTGGTGTAGTATATGTTGCATTAGTGGAGTACTGGTGTAGTATATGTTGCAGTGGTGGAGTACTGGTGTGGTATACGTTACAGTGCGGGAGTACTGGTGTAGTATACATTATAGTGGTGGAGTACTGGTGTAGTATATGTTACAGTGGTGGAGTACTGGTGTGGTATACGTTACAGTGCGGGAATACTGGTGTAGTATACATTATAGTGGTGGAGTACTGGTGTAGTATATGTTACAGTGGTGGAGTACTGGTGTGGTATACGTTACAGTGCGGGAGTACTGGTGTAGTATATGTTACTGTGGTGGAGTACTGGTGTAGTATATGTTACAGTGGTGGAGTACTGGTGTAGTATATGTTACAGTGGTGGAGTACTGGTGTAGTATATGTTGCATTAGTGGAGTACTGGTGTAGTATACGTTGCATTAGTGGAGTACTGGTGTAGTATATGTTACAGTGGTGGAGTACTGGTGTAGTATATGTTTCAGTGGTGGAGTACTGGTGTAGTATATGTTGCATTAGTGGAGTACTGGTGTAGTATATGTTGCATTAGTGGAGTACTGGTGTAGTATATGTTACAGTGGTGGAGTACTGGTGTAGTATATGTTACAGTGGTGGAGTACTGGTGTAGTATATGTTACAGTGGTGAAGTACTGGTGTAGTATATGTTGCATTAGTGGAGTACTGGTGTAGTATATGTTACAGTGGTGGAGTATTGGTGGAGTATATGTTACAGTGGTGGAGTACTGGTGTAGTATATGTACAGTGGTGGAGTACTGGTGTAGTATATGTTACAGTGGTGGAGTACTGGTGTGTATATGTTACAGTGGTGGAGACTGTATACATTACAGTGGTGGAGTACTGGTGTAGTATATGTTACAGTGGTGGAGTACTGGTGTAGTATATGTTACAGTGCGGGAGTACTGGTGTAGTATACATTATAGTGGTGGAGTACTGGTGTAGTATATGTTACAGTGGTGGAGTACTGGTGTAGTATATGTTACAGTGGTGGAGTACTGGTGTAGTATATGTTACAGTGGTGGAGTACTGGTGTGGTATACGTTACAGTGGTGGAGTACTGGTGGAGTGTATGTTACAGTGGTGGAGTACTGGTGTGGTATACGTTACAGTGGTGGAGTACTGGTGGAGTATATGTTACAGTGGTGGAGTATGGTGTGTGGTGGTGGAGTATGGTGGAGTATATGTTACAGTGGTGGAGTACTGGTGTAGTATATGTTACAGTGGTGGAGTACTGGTGTAGTATATGTTACAGCGGTGGAGTACTGGTGTAGTATATGTTACAGTGGTGGAGTACTGGTGGAGTATATGTTACAGTGGTGGAGTACTGGTGTAGTAGTATGTTACAGTGGTGGAGTACTGGTGTAGTATATGTTGCATTAGTGGAGTACTGGTGTAGTATATGTTACAGTGGTGGAGTATTGGTGGAGTATATGTTACAGTGGTGGAGTACTGGTGTAGTATATGTTACAGTGGTGGAGTACTGGTGTAGTATATGTTACAGTGGTGGAGTACTGGTGGAGTATATGTTACAGTGGTGAAGTACTGGTGTAGTATATGTTACAGTGGTGGAGTACTGGTGGAGTATATGTTACAGTGGTGGAGTACTGGTGTAGTATATATTACAGTGGTGGAGTACTGGTGGAGTATATGTTACAGTGGTGGAGTACTGGTGTAGTATATGTTACAGTGGTGGAGTACTGGTGTAGTATATGTTACAGTGGTGGAGTACTGGTGGAGTATATGTTACAGTGGTCGAGTACTGGTGTAGTATATATTACAGTGGTAGAGTACTGGTGTAGTATATGTTACAGTGGTAGAGTACTGGTGGAGTATATGTTACAGTGGTGGAGTACTGGGACTTAGGGATTGAAATCCCTTACCAGACTAATCAGGTTCTTAATAAAGGAAAGTCAAGGACCATGGTTTTCTGAGGAATAGCAAACACACCGTTTGAGACTGACATCTCTTTACTATAATAAATGGAACACAAAACTCTGACACCACTCAACAAACATCAAATAATTACGGGAGTCAAACAATTAATGCAGTCAATAGTTAATGGAGTTAATCAATTAAGGGAATCAAACAATTAATGGGAGTCAGCAATTAATGGAATCGAACAACCATAGAATCAAACAATGAACAGATATTTCCTACGGCAGTGACCCTGGGGGTAGGTTCTGGAACACGGTGATCCACACGCAGGGTAGGGAAGCGTCCATTCAACTCCACACTCGACGGACAGCGGCAGATTGTCTTGAAATGGCAGGAGAACACCGGGGCACAGACGGAATGAGATGAACTGACGGTCGTGGTATGTGGTAGTGGTAGATGATCAGAGAGTTGACAGTCGATAGGTGAAGGTCTGGGGACACAGCCCACGTGTCCAGGACCTATGATGAGATCACAGCCAGAATTTGACGGACAGCAGGGTAGCTAGATCGTGACTGTATGGCTGCTGGGGTGGATCTGCTCTTGACACTGGTAGCAGCTGCCGTTCTCACCACTACCCAACCAAGCCAAGTGTCGTCCGCGCCAGCAAACGAGAGAGTTAGCAGCGGTAACGAGCAGGAAGATCGTTTCCGCCCTTACAGTTACAGTGGTAGAGTACTGGTAGAGTATATGTTACAGTGGTGGAGTAGTGGTGGAGTATATGCTACAGTGGTGGAGTACTGGTATAGTATATGTTACAGTGGTGGAGTACTGGTGTAGTATTTGTTACAGTGGTGGAGTACTGGTGTATGTTACCGTGGTGGAGTACTGGTGTAGTATATGTTACAGTGGTGGAGTACTGGTGTAGTATATGTTACAGTGGTAGAGTACTGGTGTATGTTATAGTGGTGGAGTACTGGTGTAGTATATGTTACAGTGGTGGAGTACTGGTGTAGTATATGTTACAGTGGTGGAGTACTGGTGTAGTATATGTTACAGTGGTGGAATACTGGTGTAGTATATGTTACAGTGGTAGAGTACTGGTGTATGTTACAGTGGTGGAGTACTGGTGTAGTATATGTTACAGAGGTGGAGTTTTGGTGTAATATATGTTACAGTGGTGGAGTACTAGTGTAGTATATGTTACAGTGGTGGAGTACTGGTGTAGTATATGTTACAGTGGTGGAATACTGGTGTAGTATATGTTACAGTGGTAGAGTACTGGTGTATGTTACAGTGGTGGAGTACTGGTGTAGTATATGTTACAGTGGTGGAGTACTGGTGTAGTATATGTTACAGTGGTAGAGTACTGGTGTATGTTACAGTAGTGGAGTACTGGTGCAGTATATGTTACAGTGGTAGAGTACTGGTGTATGTTACAGTGGTGGAGTACTGGTGTAGTATATGCTACAGTGGTGGAGTACTGGTGGAGTATATGTTACAGTGGTGGAGTACTGGGGTAGTATATGTTACAGTGGTGGAGTACTGGTGTAGTATATGTTACAATGGTAGAGTATTGGTGTATGTTACAGTGGTGGAGTACTGGTGTAGTATATGTTACAGTGTTGGAGTACTGGTGTAGTATATGTTACAGTGGTAGAGTACTGGTGTATGTTACAGTAGTGGAGTACTGGTGTAGTATATGTTACAGTGGTAGAGTACTGGTGTATGTTACAGTGGTGGAGTACTGGTGTAGTATATGTTACAGTGGTGGAGTACTTGTGTAATATATGTTACAGTGGTGGAGTACTGGTGTAGTATATGTTACAGTGGTGGAATACTGGTGTAGTATATGTTACAGTGGTAGAGTACTGGTGTATGTTTCAGTGGTAGAGTGCTGGTGTATGTTACAGTGGTGGAGTACTGGTGTAGTATATGTTACAGTGGTAGAGTACTGGTGTATGTTACAGTGGTAGAGTGCTGGTGTATGTTACAGTGGTGGAGTACTGGTGTAGTATATGTTACATTGTTACAGTGTTGGAGTACTGGTGTAGTATATGTTACAGTGGTAGAGTACTGGTGTATGTTACAGTGGTAGAGTACTGGTGTATGTTACAGTGGTGGAGTACTGGTGTAGTATATGTTACATTGGTGGAAGTACTAGTGGAGTATATGTTACAGTGGTGGAGTACTGGGAGAGTATATGTTACAGTGGTGGAGTACTGGTGGAGTATATGTTACAGTGGTAGACTACTGGTGTATGTTACAGTGGTGGAGTACTGGTGTAGTATATGTTACAGTGGTGGAGTACTGGTGTAGTATATGTTACAGTGGTGGAGTACTGGTGTAGTATATGTTACAGTGGTGGAGTACTGGTGTAATATATGTTACAGTGGTGAGTACTGGTGTAGTATATGTTACTGTGTAGTGGAGTACTGTGTGTGAGTATATGTTACAGTGGTGGAGTACTGGTGTTACAGTGGTGGAGTACTATGTGTTAGTGGTGGATAAGTATATGGTGGAAGTACTGGTGTAGTATATGTGGTGTACAGTGGTTACAGTGAGTACTGGTGTAGTATATTACAGTGGTGGAGTACTGTGTGTTGTAGTAGTGGGTGGTAGTACAGTGGTGTTACAGTAGTGTACTAGGAGTACGTTACAGTGGTGGAGTACTAGTGTAGTATGTTACAGTGGTGGAGTACTAGCAGTGGTGGAGTAGTGTAGTATATGTTACAGTGGTGGAGTACTGGTGTAGTATATGTTACAGTGGTGGAGTACTGTGTAGTATATGTTACAGTGGTGGAGTACTGGTGTAGTATATGTTACAGTGGTGGAGTACTGGTGTAGTATATGTTACAGTGGTGGAGTACTGGTGTAGTATATGTTACAGTGGTGGAGTACTAGTTTAGTATATGTTACAGTGGTGGAGTACTGGTGTAGTATATGTTGCAGTGGTGGAGTACTGGTGTAGTATATGTTGCATTAGTGGAGTACTGGTGTAGTATATGTTACAGTGGTGGAGTACTGGTGTAGTATATGTTACAGTGGTGGAGTACTGGTGTAGTATATGTTACAGTAGTGGAGTACTGGTGTAGTATATGTTACAGTAGTGGAGTACTGGTGTAGTATATGTTACAGTGGTTTCAAGCGAATATGAGCTTCATTTTTGCCGCATATGAGCCGCTATGGAGATTTGACCCCTGAATCACCAACAATATTGGTTGCATAAAATGGGCAGGTGCTTAGAAGTAGAGGGAAGTTGTGGGGCAAAAACGTGCAAAAAACTGATGAACGGAAACCTAACGAAACCTCCTAACCAGAATAACCTGACCTAACCTCCTAACCAGAAAAATCTGACCTCACCTCCTAGCCAAGGGGTCTCAAGTTATCCTGCCCCCCCCTCCCCGCCATTGTGTATAAAAAAAATCAATAAAAATTTTAACAGAAGCTAGTGGATGAATTGATGCTACTTGTAGGAGGAAGTGATAAGGTATAGTCCTGTGATCGTTGTATTCGACTTGGATCATGTACAGAGCGAAATATTGTCGGGAATGTTCCTTCTTACTGTTAGCACCAAACTCTTGATATCCTTCCAAAATAGTTATAGATTTTACTTATGCACTTCACAGATAATTTGCATATAAACGTCTGCATATAAACGTCTTCACTGAGGTTGGCAAAATACCGTGAACCTTAAAAAATTCAATCCTCTGGCTTCGTTTTCAAATATATGATGAATGATACGCCAAGAAATAACACCGGTGCACTGGCGTGAGTCAGAAGTAACCAGCGTCTTCTGCCAAATTGGAAGTTCCTGTGTGAACTCGACAAGTCCAAATACTAGAAAAATATAAATTTGCAACGAAACTTAATGAAATATTCTTTTTACTTTTATGGTGAATTTTTAGTCTTACACCGGTCTTTCTTTAGCTGTTTTAATACGTATTTCATAATGTTTAGACAATTCTAAGACATTTTTCTTCTATGATATTGCCGCAGGAAATTAGGATAACCGAGATATTTTTTCAATGTTATTAGATTTCCTCAGTCACAAGTGTCGCCATGACTTGTTTACATCTGGCACCGGTCTTTCTTTTGATATTAGAAATATGTTTTTCCTTTGGTATTTGATGAGTTTCCAACGAATTTGATATTTATTTCAGCCGGAAATCACTAATTTTTTAGGTACAATCTTAGCGGAAAAAGTTGGATTTTTTTAAGTAAATCACATAGAGTAAATAAAATGCCAACCAACCAACCAACAAAACTTAACCTAACCAAGAGGGGGGGTGGGGGGGGGGGTCAGACCTCCGCGAGACGTAAACAACAAATGGCGACACTTGTGACTGAGGAAATCTAATAATATTGAAAAATTACTATCGGTTATCCTTAATTTCCTGCGGCAATATCATAGAAGAAAATGTGTTGGAATTGTCTAAACATTATGAAATACGTATTAAAAACAGCGAGAGAAAGACCGGAGTATTGTTAGCTTTTATGAGAGAAAAGTTACAATACGTTTATAAGTAGATAAGTTACAATACGTTTATAAGTAGATAAGAATCTTTGCTTTACTTGAATGTCAAAGGTCGTATTTCTAAGGGAGAAGAACGCCCGGGAACACTGCTATCATGATTGTCTTAAGAAAATGGACTTGTCGAGGCCATCTGTATGTTTAATACCAGGAGGCAGTGTGTGATGATGGGTGAGCAAGACCTCAGTAACCTGCAAGCTCATGGACTGACAATATGCTGTCGGACTGTACCAGGTAACCATTAACCAGTGGAGTGTACCCGTGAGCCTAAAAACACGACCATCAGGGCGGACACTAAACGATAATACTAGGAACCCTCACCTTAAGTTTGCAATTAGTTTTTTTTTAGATCTCATCAGCGCCATCTATTGAGTACACCAATAACAACCCAAGGTAAAGCTTTATCAGTTACTGTATATCACCTACAAACAGTTCTACCTCTCAAATTTTTGTTTGCTGTTGTTGGTTTGGTGTATTACTATTGTTATGCGCTTAAAGACTTGCGTTGTTGAATTATAATAATTATATTATATTACCAATAGTTGTGTTCTATTTTTATATATTAATTCATTATTATCGTTTTATTTATATAATCAGTTTTCTGTGGATTTTGTATTGCGAGGAACATTAACATATTTTACTTTATTTTCTACAAACATTTGTTGAACTGAACTCATCGCTGTTTTTGTTAAGGAAATGAAGTTGTCATCTCTTTATTTATAATGTATAACTGCCAGAATCACAAGAAAGCCTCCATTAGGGTCTACATTTGTTTAGCAGGAATTAAAGACATTTGAGATTATTATGATATTGACCAAAATCTGCTTCATCCGACGTTCCTTCCCTTAGTCTCCCAGATGAAGAAGGTGCAGAACACAACACCAAAGACACACACAGCGGCGTTGAACCAGCAGAGGCCTGCGGGGGTGAGCCCCATCTGCATGGGTGTGTACAACTGTAGCGCCATCAAGCAGAACACATTGGACACCAGCAAGCACGCACTAGATGCCTAAAAGGAAACTCCATGTTGTTTAACAAAAGTTATTCTTACATTTGTAAATGATGGATGACTATACTTAGCAGTTTAATGGCTGCCTATAAAGTGATATACATTTTGCTACACTTGTTGTTAACCACAAATTAATTCATACTAATGGCGTCAACTTTCATTCTAAATTTACCTTATCATGTGTTATATTCTTTTGAATCCTGATTTGAACTTTATAGATCGTTTATTACATCTTGGGAATGTATAATATTGTAGAATTATATGAATAATTAACCATAATTCATTTAACCTAAAGACAGTGATGTTGTAATTTATGAGAGAAGAAATAGGAAGGATTCTCACTTGAGCTCGGACTGCTGTAGGGAAGTATTCATTGCTGAGGATGAAAGGGATGTGGACCAGGCCGAAACTCGCGGAAGCCATGTAGACCAGGAGACAGACGAGAGGCACCCACGAGTGCTCACTAGTCCAGGAGCTGTTCAGTCGTAAACAAGTGTAAGGATGTACTGTACTTGGTATTATTTTCGCTGTGGTGACTCTACAGTAAATATTATTATCAATACTAAACCTTATGCTACTTAAAATCATGTTTAATAAAACTTTGTAAGCATGACATATAAAGCTAATTGTTTTTAAAGTAGGCGCACTCTAAGGCTCCTAGCTTTTTAGGTAATAATACATATATAAATTTTTTTAAATCACCGGGAAGGTCTCCTTTGAAGTATATAGAATTACATATTTTATTCAAACATTTTATCCCATTTTTGCCCATTTGTTTGATATATTCTGCTGGCAGCTGATCAACCCCACAAATTTTATATTTTTTCATTTTCTCACAGCTGCCTCAACTTCTGTTTCCAGAATTGGTTGTTCGAACTTTATTTCCTTTTCGTTTCTTATTTCTATCCTTATCATTGTATAGTTCTTCTACAAACTCTGCCTACACGTAGACCTGGACAAGAAACACTTGTGTCACTAACCTGTCGACAGGTGCATTTGGCATATGGTTTCCCAGCATCATGTTGTCAGAAGAGGTGGTCCCCGCTGTAAAGTTGTATATTGATGTCACATCTTCACTGTATATTGAAATTTTGTATATGTGTTTGCAGTGTATGAATGTTCCCAGGATCAGAAGACAGATTGCTGTGACTGTTAGAGAAGCAATTAAACTTTTTTTTCGGCCGATACGATCCAAGAAAAAGAGGGACAGGCCTGAACCCACAAACATCATAAGTAACACTATTATCGTCGCCAAGTTTTCGTTCATTTCTGATCCAGCGTCGAGAAAGATACGAGTTGTGTTGATGATGATAGCAGGGAGACCAGAGAAGTTCATAATGAAGAAGAGGATGAAGATAATTGACAAGTTTTTAACCATGACGGGCTGCCGGAGAACCTTCAGCAGGGGTTGACTGATCATTTTCTCGTTTACACTACGAAGTGTATTTATCTCTTCGTCGACGTCTACATCTGGTCCTCTAAGATTCCTTAGAACTTTTCTCGCTTCATCTTTCTGATCAGTAATGACGAGGTAAGTTGGACTCTCTGGCATGAACAGCATTACTATAAAACATGCTGCGCTCACACTAATGCCTAAGAAGGGGATCTGGTACCATCGAAGTACGAGCCCCGAAGCGATTGTTAAAACATATCCAATTATAATGAAGAAGGTCGGTATAACGAAAAGTGTTCCTCGTACAGCTGCATCTGGCAGCTCCACAATATAGGTATTTGCCGACACTGTTGACATTCCACATGTAACTCCATTGAAGAATCTGATGAAAAAAAAAAACTAATTGATCTGGAAACACAACTCGTTTGGTCTTAGAAGCAGCTTTATTCTTAAAAAAATAATCAAGACATTGATAAGCGTCGAGCACTTCGTCTTGAAATCTGAATAAAACTGACTGTCTCTGAGTCACAGCGTCACACAAACCTGCAGGCTCTCATGATCACAGCTGTCATGTCCTCTGAATTTATTTTCTAAATTGTAAACTCTGATAATAATCGGCGAAATAGCTATGATGTGCAAATTTAGGGCTGGCGAAATATTTTATGCATAATTAATATATTTCTTGTTTTTATGAATATTAATAATAATAAGAGTTTGGATTATTATTTCTTAATATGAAGTCATGAGGACAAATCCCTGTAAAGTATTTATAAAGCTCTTACGTCAGAATGACATTTCCTTTTATGCATTTTCCTAATGCTTATTTACATGAATTTTTTCTTTAGTTTGAGTCACCTACTTTACTCAGTCATGTACTCGTATATCTGCCCTAGCACAGGGAGACTCACCTGCCGAACAGAATCATGGCGGGATTAACAGCGAAGGCAATCATGCCCCAGCCAACAACAGTGGGCAACAGAAGCACCATGATGGACCTCCTTCGTCCTATACTAGACACGAAGATTGCCCCCAGACATGTACCCGGGACTGAGCCAGCTGGCACCAGACTTCCTGAAGATATTTGATGGAGTTAGTGTTCGAAGAGACGGTTTATATTTTTACGTACTTATATACTGATAAAAGACAGAGCTGCAAACTTTCATAAGAGCAGCTTACCCAACATGTCCATCTCAGTACTGGTAAGAGATATAGCATTGTCATATGTACATGGTGGTGTTGTCCCGCCGCAGGTCTGACAGCGCGGTGTTAGGCCACATGGCTATCGCGGCCAAAGAAAGGTGACACAGACTCACCGCAAACACCATGAACACCTGTTGAGGAGAAACACTTGTATTAGGTAGATGAGTTTATACTAAGGTGGAACCATAGGCACTGTACGTATGATACTTAGTGACGGAAACTTGGTATATAAATGTCAGGGAAACTGAGTAATATATAATTCGTCGAGACAATTATACTAGACGCTCTTCGGACTAAAAATTTGGTCATATTATACTCATTCTTAACGGAAATATTTCATGTGTAGATACCTCATAACAAATTCACGGGTAGAAACCTTATAACAAGTTCATGGGTAGAAACCTTGTATTAGCCCCTGTCTCGTGGCAATAACAATGATATAAATTTGGGTTAATTCATTTAGTTTATATAATCCAATCACCCCACTGTAATTTTCCATGAGCTGTGAGGTGCCCTGTGCTGTTCACGTGAGGGGAAAATCCTCTATCAGTAAGCAGACATCTGATTGTTATGAAAGTTAAATTCATTTATCTTGTTTAATCTTTCAATATCGAATGTGACTGATTGTTTAATATTTTCTCATATCATCTGAAAACCTTTCGATTATTATTAAGTTTCTTTCTTTCCTCAGTAACATATTTTCCCCACGTACACCACATTTATGTACAGTACCTGCTATGAAAATAAGTCATCCTCTTCCACCTCATCCTCGCCACAAGTTACCAACTACTCAAATCGGAGCTTTTGTGGCTGAAACACGTGTAGTTAGTGCATGACCTTGATATGTATGTGTGTGTGTGTGTGTGTGTGTGTGTGTGTCGGCGACTTAACCATGAGTGTCGATAACACCCGATAAAACATAAAATTCTGATATTAGCTTTTTCTTTGCCGTCCATTTTTTTACAGCACTTTGATTACATATCTCTGAAATTGAAAAAATCTTCACCAAAGGAGACCAGAAACTAGACATTAGACTTATTTCAATATCTGATCTATATCGAGATTCTTGTTTAGCTTTTTATGGGAAAAGTGAAGCCTGACCACACCTCAATATGCGGCCCAAATCCCATCAACGTTTTGTACAGTAATATATCCTTCTGGGTTTTATGTGTGATTGGTTTATAGCGAGTAAATCCTAACTTTCATTATAAGTTTTATTAGCGTAACATGATAAAAACTATTATGTAATATAAAATATAAATCAAGTTAATCTATGATCAAATCCCCGTTCCCTTTATTAGCCTCGAGTAGAACCCAGTGACTGTTATAATGCTTCATATTAAATTATCCGTCACAGCTTACCGAGATTCATTATTTAAGTTAATTTTTCCTCGACAAATACGTTTCTACGGACAGTTTTAGTCGACATACGCGTTTCTACAGTACGAACAGATTTGGTCGACATAACTTACGTCAACTCGTAGTGTGTGCAATGGCGTCATCAGTAGTTTATACAATACTTCTTTATCCATCGCTTTTGTAATCTTTATTGCGAAGCTTTACACGTGAAACGACTGCGGAGTGATAACATCAACAATCCTTCGTGTGAGTGTTATTACTGTTATCGAAGGTTTGTGAGGTGTATCCTGAGCTAAGACGAGGAAAATGATGAAAAAGAAAAAAAAGAACAAAATAAAGTAAATGAAAATAAGAAAGAATGAGATTAAAAGAAAAATAGAAGAAGAAGAAGAAGAAGAAGAAGAAGAAGAAGAAGAAGAAGAAGAAGAAGAAGAAGAAGAATGAACAGAAGGATGGAAAAAAAGAACGCGAGAAAACAAAGAAATTAAATTCGAAAAAAGTAAAAAAAAAGAGATGAAAAACAATGAGGAAAAATATGAATTAAAGAACAAGAATTAGAAAACACAAAACAATAGTTGGTATGGTATGGTATTGGGGATTGCTGGCCACTTCGCCTTTGGGCTATTTCGGCCGGAGCTGATGTCTTCTTTCTTCTTCTTGAGGTTTCTTCTTCTAGTCTTGGTCTTCTTTCTTGCTACAACTAATCTGATGTTCTTGTTTCTTCTTTTCTTGTTATTCTTGTGTTCTTCTTGTTCTTGGTATTTTGGTTTCTTCTTTCTTCTTGTTGTTTTATTTGGGATGAATTATGGTATGAGTGAGTGATATGATAGTGAGTTACTGACAGACCAGATGAAATGGCCGGTCAGGTGACTAGTTTCTCTGTGATTTGACTTTTTGTTTTGTTTTATTGTCTTTTGTAGCCCGTGTCTTTTTGTTTGAATATGTGTTGGTAGGTGTCAGTTTTACTTGGTATATGTGCGTGTTGTATGTAATGGAAAGGTTTGTGATATGTCTCTCATGTTGTATGTTTAAATTTTTGTTTTATTCATTTTTATTTGCTTTAGGGCATGGTTACATACATATTATAAATATAAAAAGAGTTCATGCGTGTGTCTTTCACAACATGCCGATAAGATGGGTCTCCTTGAGGAAGATTATTACAGCGTCACTTATGGTGACATTATCTTACAATAGATTGGGTCCAGTCAGCACGAAGCCTCGCTCGGCAGCTAGCATCACCAGCTGCCGGCGTTCTGGTTCGTACTGGCTGCACTCAGTCAGAATGTGTCGGATAGAAAGAATTTTGTTGCACGTGGCACAGATAGGTGGAAAGGAGTTGTCTAAATAGGCTTTTAGGTGGGTCAAATAGGTACAGTTCAACCTTAGTCTGGCGAGAACCACCTCTTCCCTCCTATTCTTTCTGAATGCTGAAAGCCAGTTTCCTATGTTAGTTTTCCAGTTGTTGTGAAGATCTAACCTCGTCCAATCAAGTTGCCACCTCCCTGTTGTATATGTCTTCCCCAAGGAGAGACACGACTGACGCTCCCAGGGTACATTGGTTGTCTCCCTGAGACCCACAGTCGCTTTTGCTAGTTTGTCTGCCTGTTCATTGCCCCGAATGTTGCAATGCCCAGGCACAGTTCATGAACAATTAACTATATAGTGCATTTTTTCTCAGCTGAGAAAAGATGCCCAGCCCCCTCCTCAAGAGTTACAGCTGATTGGCTGTTGCAAACCTGTCCGATTTGTCCTGAAGTAATGATGTATTTCTAAATGAGTTTATTCATAATCGTTGGGATGACCGTTTCTGACGAGAAAGATATTTAGCTAAATTATATAAAGATACATATATTCATTATTTCAAACAAAAGCACGTAGAAGTTTATCAGAAGTATTATACATGAATTAACTGCAGAGGCGGGAAATACAGTATGACTGCGAACAACTTCATATTTCCCCCGCCTCTGCTAACGGTCGGGTAATATTTCAATGTGATTCTGATCTTTTAAAATGTTGTTTTTGCATAATGTAGTATTACTGATACGTAATTTGTCTTAGTATGCCTTATTGTGGGTAAAAATAAGTATATATTAAATGCATCCTCCGAAAGCGTGAATTTGCTACCAGAGTTTAACAGTTAATTCATGTATAATACTTCTGATAAACTTCTACGTGCTTTTGTTTGAAATAATGAATGTATGTATCAAAAATATCAACTAGGAAAAATAGCGTTACTTATAAATTCATAAATAATACCACCAACAAGAGTAATTAAATGGATTAGCTCAAATATAAAAACGCAGCTCGGCCAGTCAGGTGTGTTGTAATCTTACCTGTTTGCATACGCAGAGGTTTCCTGGCGGTCCGAGTTTCCAGTGTGTCTGAACATGTATCCCTCTGGTCCTGTGGGGCCAGGAATGATTACTGTAGTCACCTATAGTGGGTACGTAAGACAATACTCACATCTATATGGCCACACACACACACACACGTACACACACACCCACACACACACACACGTACACACCCACACACACACAGTACAGCTCCTCTCTATCTCCACCAATGTTTGTAATTACTCTTATCGTTATGCCTGCTGTTATAGTCGCCCCAAGGTCCTCGCCTCTCCTGCTGCTTCACGAACCCCGAGGCAGACTCGTGAATCCGAAGCAGTAGTCACTGATGTATTATTCGTACACGTATAGAAATAAATTCTTAATATAATTTAAATAGCATTTTTATTGTCCAAGATGCAGTATTGACTGTGATTGTTTCTAAAGGGCTACTTCAAAAATAAGAAAGTGTATATGGCTATGTGGTCGAGGTGTATAAATCAAGAAATCACCTGGAGCTTTAAAGTTGATCAATGATTTCCCAACATGGCTTCTGAAGTGAACGTTCATGCCACAACCTGTCTATTAACATTCTTTTCATCTGTTTTTCGAATCAGTGGACGACAGGGCACGATTATGAATGTAAGCATATCTCGACTTTAACCAAAACACTTCGACAAGAGTCCCCACGAAAGACTAAAGCGAAAATGGAGGCTCGTGGAGATTGGAGAATGTAAATGGTTTGGCGTGTGGTTACAGTTCAGGAAACAGCGAGTGAGCATTAAGCATCCGATTGGGGTAGCATCTTTTAAAACTTCAATCCATGGACCGTACTATTTCTTACACATAAACGACATCGATATAGGCGTGAAAGCAACCTCGATGGAACTAGCGGCGACACTAAAATAAAACGTGGTGAATCTGATGAGAACTCAACAAAACTACAGGAAATCTAAACAGATTTCTCAGATAAGGTCTGAAAATGGCAAGATGAAATATAATGTGGACAATATAAAATACTTAGTCTAGGAGATGTAAACAGAAAACCAGATAACAGATGAACAGTTGTTATAAGAAATTCGATTGTGAGAAAATTTAGGGGGTAATGATAAGTAGGAATCTTAAGCCAAGTAAACAATGCATATTTATAAAACAAAGTGAATAAAATACTTGGGTCATACAAAAGAAAGGAGTGTTAGTTACAAGACTAGCGAGGTTATCCTAAAGCTATCTTGTGCTTGTGAGACCTCCTTGGATTACACAGTTCAGTTCTGGTCACCGTACTACAGAATGAATATAGAATCCCTAGAAAAATTCAAAGGAGAAAAGGAACAAGATATCCATTGAGACCTTGAGTATGAGAGACAGTTAAAAGCATCATAATTTTGCACTCCCTCGGGGCAGCCAAGTGAGGGCGATATGATCGAAATTCTGTATAAATACGGAAGTGAGGGCTGAAACACAAAGTGATATATCAAAGGTACTCAACTTCATCAACCAGGAGCAAACTTGTAACAATGGATTTAAATTAAATAAATTTAGATTTAGGCGCAGAATGAGTAAGCATTGGTTTGGAAACAGAGTAGTGGATGGAGTGGAACAAGTTACCTATATCTCAATAACTCGAATACGCTGGATAGCTATAACCTTGAGTTCAGGCGGATATATGACATTCGAGGATTTGGGTGTAATGGACTACTTTTGGTATATAACCATGCTAAGTTTCCTCCATTCTTATGTTTTTAAATTAATCACCTAAACTTTAGAACGTGTGTACTGAAGATTCTTCTCAATGACTCGTCAAACCTGAAGTGTGTCGTTTATCTAATGCTGAATTATGTGAGGAGTATATTTCTTGCTGAGAGACATTAAGACCTGATTAGTTTAAAAACACATTGTTGGGTCACTGATGGTGACCGTCTCCTTATAATAAGACAACCAGTTTCACTAATAAGCCTCTTTTGCGAGTAAGACCACTCAGGGAATACAAGGCTTTATTTCAGCTGGATTATCGATTAATACTGAATCTAAATAATTTACTGGGCATAGAAGTAGATGGTGGAGCTAAAGCTCTCTGCAAGACAATAAACTAACCATGTTGATCCAGTAATGGTATGGTTTCACGCCATCATCTGTGACGTGCAATGATATCACATAGATTAAAGGATTTGATTGGCGAATCACATAACTAATAATACATTCTTTTACCAAGAGGCCATTAAGATTTGGATTTGATAAACACCGATACAGATGTTATATTTTTATTATTTACCGTCATCAACAAAACACACACACTATCTCGACAATACCCAAGGTAAAGAAACACACACACAAATATGTGAATTCATACAAGTATTAATGATGCACATAACAATGAACACACACCAGGACCTCACCAGTCAAGGTTCGATGACAACCTCCCAACCACGTCATGAATTTCATCCATGGCAACTCTTGCGATATTGACAACTTTATATCAATATTTACACTCTCCGTTAACTTCGTTTATGGTAAAATAGTTGTTTACTTGCCAGTACGGCAATGAAGTGTTATTAACACAACATAGCATGATGCTGCTCATATGCCGCTCTAGTGCTATAGCTCTGGTGCTTTATAGCTCCTGGTGCTGAAACTCTAGTCTATATCATATACTCTTCTGAGGTTATGACTACGCCCAATACAAACTATTATTATCTACAAGTGGTTTGAATACTAATCGTAATATGATTTGCGGATAGAACGCCTTTCAAGAAATAATTACCGATTTGACAGTGTGTGTGTGTGTGTGTGTGTGTGTGTGTGTGTGTGTGTGTGTGTGTCCTTCGATTACTGACTGCTGCTCGGTGAGTTGGCAAAGACATCATATAATTCTTATTATGTTATGGGCCTGTGATTGTGTGGTCCTTGCCCTGTCATAAACATGTACACAATGAACATATCATTT